TCTCTAAAATAGCCTGTACATCCTCCTAGAAAAAGATACTTGCAATCTCTGCTTATATTCCACTGTATTACGCTTGGCTGAAATAGATTTTCCACTGCACTACTAAGAGTAGAAAGAACTTTAAAAGTGCTTGGACGAGGTATTCCACACATCACAATGTTCTACCCATTCCCACCCTCCATCTAAAACCAGCTCCAGTAGTTTCCTTTCTAAGATGCTTTTCCAGCTCCACAAAGCTTTGACCACCGTTTTCACTTCCATAAAGCTTGAATTTCTGTGGTAATGAACCTTGAGGATCCACGACAGAAGTGAATTAGAATTCCTAAGTATCCTCCAAACTTGTTTGGCCAGTTAAGCAAGGTATACACTAAACCCCCTCATACTCAGACCAGCCTCTTGTTTAGTGAGAGAGAAGCTTTTCACGATACTACAAATCGAGAGTTTAAAATTTGAGAAGTATGGGCCATTGACTCCAACTATAAGGCATAACTATTAGCTATCTTTCATCCTTGCAGTCTGTCCTAAGTATCAGCATCAATATAAAGAAGCATATACAAGAGTCTAACTGATCAAATGGTCAATGAGGGCCAATGTAAAATAGTGAAGGACTTAGAGGGGATGGGTTCAAACCATGGTGGCCACCTACTTAGGATTTAATATCCTACGAGTTTCCTTGTCAACCAAATGTAGTAGGGTCAGGCGATTGACCCGTGAATAGTCGAGGTGTGGGCAAGCTAGTCCGAACACACGGATATCAAAAAAAAAAAAGAGAAACTGAACCTATAGAAAACGCAAACCAATTTTAAACTGCAGTAGAATCTTCCGTGGGCATCAAATACAGGATAACTAAAATTTTGTAATATTTTGCAATAAATTGTCATTAAATCATCAGCAACCCTCTATCATCCATCACTAAAACATCCAGAGGAAGAGCAACGAAGAACTATATGAACTCCATAAACACAATGATCACCAATTCACCACTGGTCTACTCCACTTCTAAAGTGAAACTTTTGATTACAACCCAATGAAAATTGTACCGACAGCTTATGGTAGTGCATATAATTGAAGTACATGACAAGTTGAAACTTTTTTCATTCATGTACATAGTAAGTGAAATTGCATGGCTCTTAAACATGCATAGCTTCAGAAGTAGTCCAGGTTCTTCAGTTCATGAACTAAAATATGAAATATATGAACATAAGGCAGCATCAGAAATGCAGGACTTGGAGGCAAGGACAGTACAGAGAGGGGGGGAAAAGGCAGGTAGAATCTTTTTTTTTTTAATTAAAAAAAGGATTTTCAAGCTATTCCGTTAGTATGACTCAATGGTAGTAAGCAGTTTTGAGACTTTAAATCAAATCTAGCAAATCCTAATCAAACTCATATTTTTTTTAGTACCTCCAACCTCAAGGGAAGAGTTAATCAAACCCCTGATAGAACATAAACTTTAATCCCAATATAAGAAAAAAAGCACAAGAGACGTACAAGTTTCACTACAAGCCAGTGATCAAAGAGCTATTTGCATGCAGTAGCAGACGGAGTTTTGGTAACATATACCTATATATTCATTTTTTTCACCACATGAAATAGTAAAGAAGAGGATGTTGCAAGAGTACTGACCAAAGGCTGCATACGTTTTTTCCCAATAGGATACTGGTACGGGTTTGGTGTTTGCATGGAAAATGCAGTAAACCATAGGATGAAACCAGATAAAAGATCAAGAAGGGAATCCAGCGTGGATGCAATTATAGCAAGGGAGCCACTTCTGATTGATGCATAGACTTTAGCTACAAACAAAACCAAATTGGCAACATTTGATATTCTGATTGCAAATGTTTCACTCTTTGCTAACTTTTCACGTTCTTCCTGCAACCACCATAAGTATATTTTGGTTTTAAGCACCTCAGGATGTACACAAGTCACTAAAAAGGCATAGAAGTACAGAACAATATTAACCTTTGACATTCCAGGAACATAACCACGGTCAGTTAAGGCATCCATTTCATTAAATCCCTCAAGCATTTCTACCTGCTGCTGGTAGTACTCAGCCACATAATCTTCAGGACCTGAATTCAACAAGAAATTTGGTGGATTAAGTTTTCATAGTGTTTTTTTTTTCTTTATTTTCTTTCTTCATATAGCAATTTAATCTTCAGGACCTGAATTCAACAAGAAAAATGTTAAGAATAAGGTGGATTAAGTTTTCATAGTGTTTTTTTTTTCTTTATTTTCTTTCTTCATATAGGAATTTAAATCTAAGTATGCTCTCTGCTAATCCCAAATAAACAAAATAGCAGAATCTATACAACAAATGCGTCAACACTTACGCATTCTTTTACAAAGGGAAAGATGTGTATGCACAAATAAACTAGCAAAAGGGCCAAGAAGTAGCCAACTAAAAGTGGAAATCCGAAATGTTGAGCGACTGTCAATACCTTGAGACCTTGGAACTTAAATATGAAAAATTTCTCAACTTTAAGAATCAATCAACCACAAAACATCCACATCCAATAGCAAATAATAATAATAATAATAATTCTCCAGCTTCAAGTTCAGGCTTTTGAAACTTTGAAATACATATTCCCCTCTCCAATTTTTAATTCATCCAAAGAACGGGTAGGTCAATAACTCGTTAAATACATAAAATAAAGCAAAGGGAACCCACAAACCCCTATATTCAACGCAAAATAATGCAGCAGAGGACAAACAAAATTGGATGAAAAGAAACATCCCACTATCTCAGGACAGAAATTAAAGGAAGTGACCAAGTGCCAGAAGAATAAATACGATTCAACAAAAAGAAAAATTAAACGAATATATGCAGCTATTCTATTCTAAAAGCAAATCAGTAAGAAAGAAAGAAAACAACAAACGAAGACCTGAAAAGAATATTTCCAGTAAGGAACAACGCAGGGAGACCATAGAATACGATATTGACAAAACGGGAACGGATCCAAAAGGAGAAAACATCATTCAATTTCAGGCAACAGAAGGAGCGGGAAATTACTCAAAACCCCATAGCAATCATGGAGGCCACGAGGAGGTTTCTTCTCCTTGTGCTCTGGAGACAACTGAAAGCCATCGAAGTTTAAGCGCCAGGATAGGTCGCCGGCGGTGGACTGCAGCAAGAGCGAGCTCTCCTCGTCCTTCTCGAGGGAAACAACAGGCTGCACCATTTCTGCGATCACTGAAAATGCGAGAAATGCAATAATGGAGGAACCGAGAGGAGGAAGAAGAAGAAGAAGAAGAATCGGCGGTGCAGATGGTAAATTTAACGAGAAATTGGGGGCATTTCGGCAAAAATATAAGTTGGTTTGTTCACTGTTGTGGTTAGCGTAGTTTGAAGCGTCCGGACCAGTAGACACTGCACAAACAAATATTTTTTTTCTTAACGACAAAAATCAGAGTCCACGTGTACGGCTCCCCCTGCTTTATATCTATAATAATTTTATATTACCATGATTTCACTAAGCTTTTACTTTTAATCTTGTTTTTTTAAGGCACTTTTAATCTTGTATTAAAACGTGACCTAACAAATATGGGTAAATTAATCTTTTAAATTATTGACAATCTAATAATAGCTTAACTAGTCGAGACTTATAGGTCGATGGTAAAAATCCAAGTCTAATAAAAGTTTATAATATGTATCCAAATCTAGCAAAACTTTATATGTGACGTCTGAATAGAAATGAGGGATATATGTATATGTAAGTGATGACAAAACATGTTAAAAATACTCCGTTACAAACTACTCCTCTTAGACTCAAACTTGTGTTCAGTCCATAAATAGGATATGGTAAGTCCAAAAAATCACACTCCACGAGTTAAAAAAAAATCTTCCGTAATTAGGATATTGCTCTATTTTTTTTATTTACATCAATTATGATATTAATTTGAGGTATATATGAATTTATTTTTTTAGATAAGTATATATAAATTTGTTAAAGTTTGAATTTCTACTCTCACAATTATAATAATGTATTGTTGATAGTAAATATATATACTCACGTTATTTTATCTTAAATAAATTTATGATATTTATTAATTATTCTCTCACTCTATAATAGATAAGTATTTTTTTTAGTACAACATGTAGGAGTGGGAGATCGAACTCATGAGATATATGTCAATTACCGTTAAGTCATGCTTACTTTGACATATAATAGATAAGTATATAGAAATAATATTCATGACCCTTTAAATATATTGCAAAGCATAGCTTAGCAGTAACATGTATCTTCAACAAAAGGTTGTGAGTTCGATTCCTAACACCCATATTGTACTATATTTATATATATTTAGTTTGTATCCCTACAATATTTTTTTTAATCATTTTGCCCTTAAACTATCAATTAAAATATTTTAAATTTAAGTATGGCTACTTAAATTTTAAACACAAAATTTAGAGAAAAAAATATTATGAAAAATAGAAATGTGATTTTTTTTTTTTAAATAGAGGAGGATTCGAATCCGTATAATAGCGCTGTAACGGTTCACTTTTGACTACGAGATCACCGTACAGAATCACGGAACTGAAAATAATCTGAGCCGCACGATTAAAATTTGGAGATGACGACTGGGCCACGCCTGCCCCTACCTTTCAGGACTGAAGATCTTTTTAGAGAGAATTGTTAAAGTGCTACTAAGGTACACGAACGCCTCGTGGACCTCCATTTCTGTCGTTCGTCCGATGAGTGAAATTAAACTCGATCGTTGGATCGAGGGGTCTCGTGGGGCCTACCGGATATTATTTTTGTTTTCATTTTTCTTAATGTGGCAGCTCTATAAAAAAAAAGGCGGCTAACATTTTGGTGGGCCATGGAAGTCATAGTGTTTGGTTACGTGGATAGCAATGGTGGGTTAGTGGATAGGAGTCCATATCAGACGTGGGGCCTATGGGAATGACCAAACAGTGGCCTTCACGTCACATGGGATCCTCTTGAGAAATGAGAAGGACTCCTTTGGTTTTATACTTTGAAGGTTAAGTTTATTAAGAGTGGTAAATTTTATACAAAGAGCGGAAATTCGAACTTATTACCTATTAATATGAGTTGTGCTGAAGTGAACTAAATCAATTAAAAAATAATAATTACACTAATATGTTTCATAAAAAAGAAAAGGAAAAAAGGCATTAATATGCTTAATAGACAACATCTCAAAAAAATGAAAATAAAAAAGAGCATTCATTGGAGGAGGAAAAGATTTTCTTTAGGAATCTATGTTCTGATTAAGACATCTTTTATTGGAAAAAAAATAAATCAAAAACTCTTGAAAAAGAATTAAGCACAGGGAATAAAGATCTCACCCATTAAATGAAATTGTCAAATAAACATAATTTTTAGTATTAAATAGAGTTGGTATAATCTTGTCAAAAAGTTGTTCGCATTTTAACAAATTTGTTGACTGTTTTAGACTTGAATGAGTAAGTTTTTTAATTTTAGTAATCATTTTAATTATTCCATACAAATTTGTCTCGTTCATATTTTTTAAAGTTCTAAATGTAACAATTTAGAATATCTGCAATAAGTTTCATAAAGCCTTCGAGATTTGGTAATTTGATTGAAAACGATTATACTAAAATTTATGATAAGATTAAGATGACCTCATAGCACCTATTACACATAAAAGGTGATGTGGGGGCAATGTTTGATATGTGTTGAAATTATCTCCCTATTAACTTAATAGTGAGATGTTAAATTTTAATTATCCTACTTTTATTAACATGATATAAAAAATATAATATAAATCTTTTCCTTCTCTTGTCTTGTTTTGGTTGTTTTAAGAGGTGAAAAAGTAAGTACTCGAAGTTACCCTTAAAATATATCATTAATGTCTTTTTTTTTTTTAATACAACATGTGAGAATGAATGATTGAACTTACAACTTCTTAGTTAAAAATATACGTCAATTATTGTTAAATCAATTAAGTTCATAAGTGTAAAAACATAATTTTATAGACTGTGGATAAAGTATTGGCCTTTTTTAAAGTTATATTATAAGATGATAATGGGCAGATTTCTTTCAATGTAGAGAAAGCAAAAGGATAGTATGTTTGTGGATTAGGATTAGAATTGAAGTGAATTGAAAGGCAACTTTCTTGTCCGTGTGAAGTAGATAATCTTCAAATTGGGGAAGAGGACCACTCTCAACATCGATCTTTAATTCATTTGGATATACACATACTTTGGAATTAATTTATGAATTTGGGGTGATAATTGATATCGCATTGTCGTTTTAGAGATTCTAAATCTATCTTTTATGTACCAACGTAAGTATAACTCAGCGGTAATTGACATATATCTCAAACCAAGATATTATGATTATGATTTCTCACTTCTACATGTTGTAATAAAAAAAGCTATATTTTATATTCTATAGTTTTTTTTCTTTACTTTGATTTTATTGTCTCTCTTGATACTAAGCATGTAAAAAAATAAAATGTCATTCTTTATTGAATATAGGAGTTATTGGTATAATAGTAGAACTGATAATGGCGATAAAGCAAAACAAAATGAATGTTTGTTCGAAAAATTCAACTAAAACGTTTATGGAAGAGCTTTCTTATGGTAGTTCGTTTGTCTAATGATCATGTTGTCTCCATCCATTAGATGACTTCGAGATGTTGTCTCCATCCATTAGATGACTTCGAGTTTCACCAACTTCCTTCAATGTGAAATAATATAACCTCTCGAAAAAAAAAGGAAAAGAAAAAACACACTAGTGTAATGTTCGTCAAAGTGATTTCAACAAAATGACAAGGGCCGAGCCCTTAGATCTTTAGGATATATTAGTATGTACCCAAATATATGTAACAGTTTCTTGGCATAGTGGTATTGTGTGCTCTTGGCAGCTATTATTGCTCAATTTGCACCTCAGGATTCTTATTCCTTTTTTCGTTTGTTCATTTATATATATATATATATATAGATTCTTATATGTAAATTTTTTTAAAAGGAAAAAAAAAGTCATAAATTCGTTATGCTATTCTTATATTTTGTTTCTTTATTTATTTCTTGATTCCTATATGTAAATTTTTTTAAAAGGAAACAAATCATAAATTTGTTATGCCATTTTTTTATATGCTTTTATAGATTTAGATGGTAGGTCAATTCAAATCTATCTCCAAAATATCTGTCAGTATGCAAAATAATCTTTCTAAATTTAATTTTCTTTATTCTAAATGTATATAGAAAATTCAATAATACTTCTACTAAAAAAATTGGTTAAATTACGAGTTTAATCTATAAATCCTTTTCAAGTTGTATCTTAGAGGTTTTGAAACTTCTAAAAAATATCTAATAGGTATTCAAAGTTTCATAAAGTTTCAATTTTAAATCTGATAGGCGTTAGAATTTAATTTGTTATTGTTTAATAACCCTTAGCCTATCATACTATTTTTAAAGGTCAAGAGCCATAGACACAAAATTAAAAGTTTAGAGACCTATTTCACTATTTTTTTAAAAGAACACGAGTGATACTAGACACAAATTTGAAGGTTAAAAGGATAAATTTGTAATCTACCTAACTTAATATCGAAACATATAAACTAGTTGTGTGTGTTAGTAATTATCCTCGTACAAAGTTAAATCCTCGCTAACATAAAATCCTAAATCAATCACTGATAAGATAAGGTAGAGTGAATTTAACATAGCTTAGTACTGTATCGCTAAGAAATATCTCAAACAGCTACGAAGAAATATTGTCAGTGCTTCTTGAATTCTCGTGAGAATAGGATTTTTTATTTTTTTTAATTATTAGATTAGAGGATTATAGTAATTTGATGTTGCAAAGTATTACTAATCAGAATTCAATTTAGAACATTATGTGTAGAGAAATTGAAAGCCCACATTTTAGTGCTTGTCCCACATCGGTGAGGCGCGAGGGAGGGAGGGAGGGGAGAGGGTATATAAGAGAAGGCGGAGGTATAAAGAACTCACTTACCTGGACGGGGTGAATGGGCGATCAAGAAAGCCCATGGCCTAAGCCCACGGCCTCCATTGCACGTGGGAGGGGCGTGGGCTTAAGGCCTGCCCAAGTGGCGGAGCCTACGTCATAATTTGTGCTAGCGGGGGCCTGCGTTCGCGCGGCCCCTTCCCAATCTACTAATTTCAAAGTTTTCCTTTTTCCTTTTTGTTCATAGAATGAAAAATAATGTTGTTGATTTATATATAAATAGGATCAATGAATTTAGTCGGCTACAAAAGAATATTGGTAAAAAGAAAAAGCAGAAGAATTACGGTTTTTTTTCTTAAAAAGTAAACAAGTCCTTCCTTAAAAAAGTTAAAAAAGTTAACTAAAGTCGCAGTGAGTGCTAAGAGATACATTGGACCAATCGATTTTCTCCATCCAATGTATGCGATTTTCTCCCTCACTCGTGAAACGCTAGTCTTCTCAACTCATCAGTTTTTTTTTTCCCCTCAAATTTGCTTGTTTGTAAATGGTCCCATTCTCCAGCAGCCCCACCTTTGTCTCTTTCCCAAAGGGTCCTCACCTCCCAACGGCTCCTCAGATGATAATTATCTCTATTGGTATAAGACTTTTTGAATGAAACAAAAAACAAAGTTACCATTRTAGAGATACATGAGGTACAAATTACGTACAATAAAATAGGTCGAATCTTGCGGGATGATCTTCCTTGTCCTCCGTAGGACCTGCAARATAAGGTTAGTACTTCGACGAGCAAGTTAGTCTCTATCCGATCTAACTCTCTAAATACAAATGGATTTCGTACCTTGTATAATGAGCATGCATCCTTATTTATACGGATGAAATCCGACAGGGACCCCGACATAGGGCTAAAGGTCATCCGACCGTCCGTAAAACGTGACGGCGTGTTGTCAGGCTTAATGCATTTGTTCAACACTTCTATTGACATGTTGACTTAGGTCGGCTAATAATTAGTGACGGACAGCTCAGCTCGACTGACAATACCCAACCTAAAGGAACTTGCACCAATTTTTATAATTAAAAGAATCTTTTAACTTGAATACCTTTATGATGTTGACATGGGGCAAGCGATAATCAATCCCAACACAATCCTTCTCGAATGACCATTAAAGGGATCATTGACTTTGCTTCAATATTTAAAATAAGAATATATATATTTAAGAGTCTAAACCTTTTTTATTTTTGTTAACAGAGTTTTGAACAATAGATTTTAAAGCAATTCTAACCCAAATATTGTATAATTGAGTTCAMTGTTTCGTGTAAGGCACAAACTTATGACAAAAATAACTAAATTGGTCGGGAAAGTCCCTTTACCTAACTCTGAAACACCAGTTCAAATTTATTTATTATAATATGCATTCCATAACATCATTTAACTTGAATAATTCAGTTTTCATTGTAATTTGCATTCTGTAACAAGTTTTGTTTTGTTTCTATTTCTATGTAAGCTTAGCTTTTGAGGGATATTTTATGTCACCACCATCATGAATTTTTGTTTTGATTAAAAGCAAAGCAATTCAACATAACAATTAATTAAATCTATGAAGCAAAGAAAAAAAAAACCAATTGCAGCACTTTTATATATATATATATATATATATTATGTAGATACACACTAAACCGTTTTGACACGACTAAGAATAAGCGTAAGATTATAATGTTTGGATAACCAACAATAAATGCTAAATTGCTTGTTGTATATAAAAAAAATGTTAAATTGCAAGTTATGAAACATTTAGGAATAAACACTAAACTGTAATTTTTTAGACGGTTAGAAGTAAATACTAAACGGTCAATTATTAGACAACTCTGGGTAAATGCTAAACAACAAATCTTTAAATTGTTGGGGTGATTGCTAAACTGTAATTTGTGAGCTGGTCCGGAATAAACATTAAATGTAAATTGTGAGACATATAGAAGTAAAAAATTGTAAGAAAGGCGTAAACACTAAACCATAGATTATGATACAGTCAGAGATAAATGTTAAATTGTAATTTTTTGAACAATTAAGAATAAATGCTAACATGTCAATTACAACACGGTCAAGTTAACGTTTAATTGTAATTCGCTAATATATATATAGTTTTCAATTAATCATTTTAAAATAAGAATATTATTTTTATTTTGGATTTACTTATATTAAAAATAAAATCTTGAAAATTTAAGAACGAACTAAATTCAACCTTCCATCAAATGTCTAATTTGTCAAAAAAATATATAATTTTTTATAATAGTTTTAAAATAAGAAGATTAATTTATTTTGGACTTATTTATTTTAAAACAAAAATTTTAAATTTAAAAAACCAAATAGAATTTAAACTCACACTTTAATAAAAATATAATTCGACGAAGAATATATAATTTTTAATTTGACTTATTTATATTAAAAATGAAAATTTAAAATTTCAAGAACCAAATAGAAATTAAATTCAAACTTCGCTCGAAAGTGTAAATTGTATAAAAATATATCATTTTAATATAAACAAAATTAGATTGGGTTGGACTTACTAATATTAAAATTTCAAAATATTAATTTTTWAAAAAATATTTAAAAATAGCATTTAGTTTTAAAATTAACATGTTAAAATACAAATAAGTCCTATCCAAAGTAGCAAAAATATATGGTATTTTATTTTAGACCTACTAAAATAAATAATTTTATTAAAGAAAATATTTGATTTTCAAATTAGTCCCATTTGGTGCGATAAAAGGATATATATGATATTGTATTTTTAACTGATTCTCTAATATGATCTAGAAAATATACCTAAAGTTTTAAGTTAATTAGATTAAATAACAAAAAGTATAAAAAAAATTTAAGTAAGTTGTACTTAAATARTAAAAAATAAATATAAAATACAAAAATTTATTTAAAATAATTAGATATTTCAGAAATTCATATTACCTAAACCTAGGTCCCAAACACAAATCTCCATGAACTTTTTAAAGTATTTTTCCCTTCCAATATATTTTTATATGGAAGCTTCTCTCATCCTTTTTATGGAACATAATGATGCAAATCGTGCTTCAATGAATTCGAATATGCAATGTCAAGTAGTCTCGTTTTTTCTATTCGAAAACTGAATTGTTAGAATTAGGTGTGGGTCGAGATTCATTCTAAATATAATTTTTTCTAATTCCAGATTACTTGAACTTTCTAATTAACCCTTTGTTTGGAATTAGAATTTGCAAGAATTCTCAAATCATAAATGACTGTGAAATCATCTATTGTATCTGTTTGGAAACAACATGAATGAGTTTGAAATCAAGTTTTAAGTCCAAAAATTTTCCATTCCAAATAGCTGGGTTTGTCAGGATTTGAAATTAAAAAGTATCTGATTCCAAATTTACCCTACATTAAGATAATCTTCAAACATGACTTCATAAGCAAATAGCCGTTCAACAAAATTACTTTTTTTCTCGTCTCTCTTCTACAAATATTTTTTGAATTATCGTTGAAGCAAAATACAATTTTTTATACATTTAAAATTTCTCTTTAGTATTTTTTAAAACATTTTTGTATTTTTTTTAAAGTTCCCTTCTTGTGGGGCTTTTTCTTCTATCAAAAGATGTTTAAAAAAAAAAACAAATTAAGCAAGTAAGATGTTGCATTGAAGAAAAACAGTAACATATGAATTATTTTTGTTTACATTTGAAACTTTAAGTTTTTTTCAAGTATTTGTTTATAAATTTTTTCTCCTTTAATTTTATTGGGAAGGTTTAATTTAATATTTGAGTTGATTAAATGATTTCATTTTTATAGGTGGTTGACGTCACTRTCTCATATTAAAATATTATATTATTATTAATATAATATTAGACTAAATTATAAGTCCATAATAATAAAATTTGAAATCATTTTCATTATTCAAAATCCTGAAATTTAAAATAATTTCTCACCAATTCTGGAAAACGTAGTAAGCTATCAAGTTACAAATTTTTTTAAATCCAGACTGTTTAAACTTTTAAATCAAACTCTCAGGTTTCAATTTTTCTAAATCCAGATTGCTTAAACTCTGTAATTAAACTCTTAGCTAGCTCAATTCAAGCGGAATCGGCTATAAAATCCAATCATTTGGGTGTGTCAAGTCAACACTTATCCAGTGGCGGGGCATTTGACTGCCCGATTATCTCAGCTCGCTTTTCTCCCCCAATTCCTTTAGAAACCATGCTCAAATCCCACTTCGTCTTCCTCATTTTCATCTTCCCTCTTGCCCTTTTCATCCCTCCGGCTATTGGGCTTCTTTCTGTGTCTGGGTTCGACGATTCCCTCCCGTATCTATGGCCCTTGCCGGCGGATTTCACCTTCGGAGACCAGACGCTCTCCGTCGATCCTCAACTTTCTCTCGCTGTCGCCGGCAATGGCGGCAGCTCTGAGATTGTTAAAGCGGCGTTTGATCGATACAGGGGAATCATATTCAAGCACACTTCTGGGGTTTCTGTGTTTGACAAGCTCTGGGGAAGACGGAGAAGATTTGTTTATGATATTAGTGAATTGAAAATTGTTGTTCATTCAGATTCTGAGGAAGTAAGCTGGAGTGGCGAACTTTTATTAAATTAAGTAATCTTTCTGAGCTGATTATTGTCATATTCTTTTTCCTTTTTCAGCTTCAACTTGGTGTAGATGAGAGCTATTCGTTGCTTGTATCGAAGAGCGACGCTCAGTCGATTGTTGGGGGCGCGACAATTGAGGTAAATCACGACTTACACAAGTTGAGCTGGAACAGAAAGTGGTCATGAACATCTTGGTCATCTAAGGTTATAACGAATTGCCAGCCAAATTGTGACGTGCTTTCGAAATCTTGTGTTCAACTTTTTAGTTTTTAGTAAATGTTTAACTATAGTCTATAGTCCAAGTCTGTTTCATGTCTACGAGTTACCCAGATCCTAATCCACTATAATTGTGGGATTCCAAGTTTCAAATTCTGATCACATGAAACAGCCATCTTCAGTTTCAACATACTTCATGGGATTGCTCTGCATTTTATATGATTTTTATGATTAAACTGATCTTAATACTTGCTCATTGCTTCTACTAATAAATTCCAGGATTCCAAACCATTTCCACATTCGTTTCTTTTTAAATAATAGTTGTTTATACTTCAAATTTGGATGCTAGTATGTGTTTTCTGATAATTTTTTGGTTTGATGTTGATCTTCTGGTTCTGCAGGCAACTACTGTTTATGGTGCATTGAGAGGGTTGGAGGTACCCACTATTTCCCATTCACTAGAATTTTGCTTTTCAAACATTTAAGATACCTTGTGATCTGTGAAGGAATTTGTAACTGGTGTATGCACAATCTGAATCATCTTAGATCCTCTTTCTTCTTATGCTACATGTTGGCGTATGATTTTGCAGACATTCAGTCAACTTTGTACTTTCAACTATGAGACTAAGGATGTACAAATATATCAAGCTCCATGGTACATCAAAGACAATCCAAGATTCACATATCGTGGACTTCTCATTGGTAAGCCATTTTATATAGCTAACGTAACAAACGATTTTGAAATTCTTTTCAATAATTTTTGGCCCCAATGCATCCCTTGCAGATACTTCAAGGCACTTTCTACCAGTAGATGTAATAAAGCATATCATTGAATCTATGTCTTATGCTAAACTTGTGAGTAAAAGCATACATTGTCATTAATTATGAACTCTTGTCAGTTTTTTAACCTACTTTATATATTTTTTTCCTTTCTCTCTCTAGATCAATTGTTTTATACTGATACTGAGAATTTTGTTCAGTAGAATGTCCTTCATTGGCACTTAGTAGATGAGGAATCATTTCCTCTAGAAGTACCTTCATATCCAAATCTGTGGAAAGGAGCATATACAAAACATGAGCGCTATACGATTGAGGATGCTTATGAAATCGTCAAGTAAGAGCTCCATAGCTGTTTGAACTCACAAGTAATTTTCCAACAATTGAGTGCTTTTATGTATTTCTTGTAACTTTTCTTCAACTATTTCATCGGTCCTAGAGCATTTTTCATTTTGAAATTTCACAAAATTTTAAATTTTTGTGACCTAAACCTCTCATAGTTTAGCAAAGAAGCAATATTTCATTTAACTAAATGACCGTGTTCCTCGGTCGGTCTGTGGACCCTCCCATATAAATTTTCTAATAGTTCTTTCAATCGTGAAGGCCAAAATGATCGTAAAAGTTTTTAAATTTACTTTTTAGAGGAAATGGGAAGAACGAAACTAATATAAATTGTATATATTGTACTACATCAGAAAATTACTGTATAGTTAGCATACATCCGATCCAACACCTAACTTCCTACAAATCAAGTTTTACAGTTCATATTGCTTACCCACCAGTAACTAACATTTTGTTTTTTGCTTCATGGTTTTAATTTCATTGTGAAGCTTCGCCAAAATGAGGGGTAAGCTTCATCTTCTAAAGCTCACGTACAAACTTGTCTTCTTAATGCTATTTTTAGAACTTAGAATCTCGTTTAGCTGAGTGATATCTGAAGTAATGTTTTGCAAGTCAAGAGACATCTTGCTAATTATTATAATATATTATTTTGATTTTTTAGGCATCAATGTTATGCCAGAGGTGGATGTCCCAGGACATGCCGAATCTTGGTAAAGTTCTTTTTATGGTTTATGGTTTAATTTACTTTTCACTTACCCCTTTGTTATTAAATTGGAGCCTATATCCTGCATCGAGCAAGGATTTCATCATTGAGCAGGTTTGGCCTCTTCAATCTTTATATGTTTATATTGGTTACAACACAATCTTAAGATGATGATGATTATGAACGTGCAGAAAAGTTCAAATGAAATGTTGATATGTTTTGCATCTTAACATGTTACTTCACCCCTGACCCGAATGGGACAAAAACAGAAAGGGAGTCTACTGACTCTCTTCCTTATAATTTTTAATCAGGACAAAATATTAATTTGCATGTAGGGGCGTTGGATATCCTGATCTCTGGCCTTCTCCTTCGTGTACAGAACCACTTGATGTTACAAAAAATTTTACTTTTGATTTGATTTCCGGTATATTGACAGGTTAGGCCCCTTGAAATCTTTGCACCTATTTTGCATGTAGTTTATCGAAGATGCTTACGCTAGTTACAGGATCGCGTTCTCTAAAGCCTCCTCAAGTTTTACTTCAATTCTGTCTTACAGATTTGAGAAAGATTTTCCCGTTTGAGCTCTTCCACTTGGGTGGTGATGAAGTAAATACAGGTAAGGATACCCTGGAATCTGCTATAGCTTCACCTTCATTGACGCAAGACATCATTACTTAAATGAGAAAAGGAAACTCGTTTACTCAAATTTCAATAACCCAAATAAATGAAAAAGGTTTGTCATCCATTTTTACTTTCAAATAGTAGTAGTAATCTCTATTCATGTGCTCCTAGTTCTGGTATTAGACATTCAAAGTTTCCATTTTATCAATGACCTCGTTGCCCATAGATTTTTATTTTTTGCTCTATCGAAGTGAAGATTGACTTTTTGAAGACATATTTATAAAATACCATGGTGTTCCATATCTTAACCAAAGTGCACTTTGATCTGTGAGTTCAAAGTTGTTGGTCGTATCATATGAGTGTTCTTTTAGCCTTTTGAAATTAGACCTGCAGCCACTATTTGTTTTTACATTTTTGTTGTCTCGAATTCAAATTGGTATAGTATTTAAAACAATACAATAATTCAACTTAACATTAAGCTCTCTCAAGAGCTTCACAAGTCAATTCTTTGATGAACAATTATCATTCCGTATTTGGCAGATTGCTGGAATACTGTTCCACACGTGAAGCAGTGGTATGACTTCGTAGTCTATCTTCACTGATCAATCTCTCATTTCTTTCATGGTAGTTGTGATCTTTAGGTTTTTGTTTCTGAGCTTATACGATTTTACAAATATTTGTCGAGGAATTGATTAACAGAATTAGAAAATGGATTTGGCTTAGCATCCATTGAGCAATGACATCTAATATTTTCACGATTAGAACACTATTCATGAATGCGACAGACTCTGATCCTTAAGTTAACATGCACGAGAAGAAAAGGAAGGTGGGACCTACGGGTAGGAGTGACTAGTGAGTGTTGTACTAGTGTGGGGCCGGAATATTATTGTTGACTGTTAAGCAGAGTGCGCATATGAGTTGGGTTGCTGAGCGCGTTGTGTACTTTTTTGGATTTTCTTGGTTAAGTGAGTATTAGGAGAGATAGGGAGGTCACAAATCTCCCTTGGATTGTGCCTAATTTCCACTCAATAGACTCATTACTAACACTCCTTCAATACAGTCATTATTTGATTTTCTGTTGCATCCACGTTTTCTACTTTCAGGATAGATAGTCATATCAATATAACTTTGAGTGCTGACATTGATATAATTCATAATAAAACAGTTGATGGGAGGAAAATTAAGTACCATATTACCAGATTCTTATTAGCAGTTTGAATTGGCCTATTTCATATGGCTATGACATTACAGGTGAGTGTTTCAGACCAGCATTTACATAAACCAAGGGGAAAGGGAATTCAATGAGATCAAATTTCGGTTTTTTGATATTCTGGTGATTTAGCTGGGCTTATTTTGTGAAGTCAAGCTTCAAAACTTGGCATATAGCTGGGTACTTGTGGTGTAATACTTGGTTATGTTATGTCCTGATTTTTGTAATGCAGGCTTTCAGATCGGAACTTGACGACTAAAGATGCATATAAATATTTTGTGCTCAGAGCTCAAGATATCGCAATTTCTAAAAATTGGACCCCTGTAAATTGGTATGCAACTTTTTCTTCAATTTCTCTTTGTTTTTCGTTGTACAGACAATTATGTTTCATGAATATTAGAAAAACAAACGCTTATCTGGAAATTAAAATGCATTTTACTATATCAAGCTGAACTTTTCAGACAAACTTGTGCCAATCTTCCTTGTCATGTCCAATGGCAGAAAGAGTGATATTTGAGAGAGCTTCATTTTGCATAGAGTGGTATTTCGTATTGTTTAATCATCAGTCATTTGAACGGTTCTGATCTTCTCTTTTCAGGGAGGAAACTTTCGTTAACTTTGCAGAAGGTCTTAATCCTAGGACTATAGTGCACTATTGGTATGTTCAATTCAACTATTATTTCATATCTTAGAATTATCGCGACCTTGTTAATAACAATTTCGTTTAGTTTTCTATTTTTAAAAGTTATGCTTGTTTTTTCGCAATTTCTTTGATATGGTTTTTACCATTCTAAAAACATATTTGAATTCTTATAGAATTTAAAAAAAAAAACAAGTAAAATTTGGTTTAGATTTTGAATTTTTGTTTTTTAAAATTAGATAAGAAAACAAAGAAACAAATCAGTCGAAGCAKGGTTTATAAGCTTAATTTTAAAAAACAAAAAATTAAAAACAAAATAGTTATCATGTGGGGCTATATTAAAGAAACTGCCATAGTCTGTCTCTCCCTCTCTCCCCCGAGCTATATCTCAATGTATTGCTATCTACAGGTTGCGTGGTGGGGTTTGTCCCAAAGCTGTTGCCAGTGGTTTTAGATGCATCTATAGTAACCAAGATATTTGGTATCTTGACCATTTAGACGTCCCATGGAGTCGAACATACCGTGGCGATCCCCTTGAAGGAATAGCAGATGCTTCTCAGCAAAAGCTTGTCATTGGAGGAGAAGTTTGCATGTGGGGCGAGACTGCTGATGCATCAAATGTTCAACAAACAATATGGCCTCGAGCTGCTGCAGCTGCAGGTACGCTCCGCACCTGTATTTGATGTCATTTTCAACCATTGCTTGTAAGGCTAGACTGTGCTATCTATCAATGTTAAAGCTAGCTGGGGATCTTTTTTTTTTTTTCTGTTCATTCAATTTGTTTTTTCCTGGAACACAAAACTAACACTGTCTCGGTTGTTCCCTCCAGAGAGGTTATGGAGTAAGAATGAGACAGTATCGGGAAATATCAACTTCTCGGTGCTACCGCGCTTGAGTTACTTCAGATGCCTCCTGAACAGGCGTGGAGTCAATGCTGCTCCAGTCAACAATTTCTACGCTCGAAGTGCCCCTACCGGTCCAGGATCATGTTATGACCAATAAAAATCATGTTATGATCTGTTTTATTCTAACTTTGTGCATGCCAAAATATCTATTTCCTGGAATAATAATTGTGTCATTTAGACCTCAATCTTTTCCTTTCATCCATCCTTTGGGAATAATAATTGTGCCATTTAGACCTCAATCTTTTCCTTTCATCCATCCTTTGGTTGACATTTATTGATCTGTCTGATTGGCTTGCTTGAAGACTTGAGCTTGTTCATGTGGAGCTTCTTGTTATGTTCATTGTCACAGTAATGAACCTACCTCAACATCCTTGGGTGGTACTCTCTTCTCCACTAATTTGTTACTGTTCTTCATCATTTATTACCTTTGACAAGCTTAGAGTCTGTTTCAGAAATTCTAGGACACATCTTTAATACAGGTTGAAATCATCCTGGCAAGTTTGGGATGATTTTAAAAGGTAACAGTGCTTTAAAGTATTGAGAGCATTTCTTTAATAGTGATTTTGAAAGAAGCCCACTTAAGGTCTTGTTTACTTCAAGAGAATGGGAAATTCATTCTCTTTGACGGTGTTTCAATTGATGGATTCACCTCGAATTTGAGAGTCACTTGTAATTTTATCCCTCTCCTAAAATCTCATCAATTATTTTTCTTCATATTTTATTTCGTGGGTTTTGCACCCATTTATTCTAAAAATGTTTTTAAAAGTCGCTAGAATTTTAAGTCACTTAGAGTTATCTAACCAAACAAAATGAAAATTTTGAAAAGAATTTCTAACGGGATATCGCTCAGGCCGCACATAAGTAAGTCCAAACACCTACGAAACTGAGTTTGTGAATACTTTTGACATTAATTTAGAGGGGTTCGCCTTTGTTGTTGTTGGTACATCAACATCAATGCCATGCCATAATCTTAATGTTGGTTGGACATTTGGCTGACTGAATTTCAAAGTTGGTCTTTCCAAAGTCCCACAAGAAGTTTCCCTTTCCCACTGCCTAAAGAAATTTGTGGTCTAATCCAAATCACAAGTTACTTGAGCTTCAAGGAACCCACTAGAAAAACTCACAAGCATCATCTCCCAAAAAAAAGTAGGTACAAAGTGTTTAAACCAATCCACACGGCTCTATCTTTACTCTTTTTTGGCATAGAAATCTGTTTGTTTGTTAGAGGTATTTATAGAACATGTTTGTGAAATTCGTGGACGATGTCAATTGCAATTAATGAATGATTTTGATGAAATATAGTCAAGAAAGGGTACAATAACTTGTTATTAGATAACCATTTATAATTAGTAAGCGAAGATTTTATTGAAGTAAATCAAGACGACTTTGCTATTATTTGTCGCCTCTATCTTTTGATTAAAACTTCTTAAACATCCTTAAGAAGTAATGGAAATACTTTAACAAATTATTAGTTGCCACGGTAGTTGAAAAGCATGAATTTGAGTAAAATGTTCTAAAGTATTGTTTTGATTGAAAAGTAGAAAGGAGGTAAGGACACATATTCCAGTTTATGTAATGGCACTTCTCGTTAATCGAAATAAAGTTTGATTAATTTTGGTAACATTCCTGTTTTTTTTTTTTTCTGTTTCTTTATTTTTAACGAAGAAAAATAAATTGCATGCCTTCAACGTCCAATAATTCAATTATGATAAAATAATTTTTTTGTTTTGTTTATATTTTGGAACAAATCAGAAATGTAAACAAGAAAAAACAAACAGTGAGAATTTTTCCAAAAAATGAGAAACAAGAAACATAATTAGCTGTAAAATGTTTAATTTTTTTTTTTTTTGAGAAAATTGAAAACAAGAAATAAGAAACCGGAACGTTACCAAACGAGCCCTTACCGATCGACTTGTTAAAGTATATGGACTCCAAGTATAATTTAATTGTTGTTGTCCCTACATTAAGGAAAAAAGCTAAGTGTCAACACTTTGAACTGATAATTACATGTATGAAAATTGCAAACAAGAAAACTTTGGCCCTACCCATTTTCCATGAGCTAAAAGAAAAAGGGGTGAAATATTTGATTATTAATTTGTTCTCATCATGATGGTTGAGTCTAGATTTCTCTTTCTAGCATTATTAGGGATGAAAATTTGGTCATGCAAATGACAAAATGTGTTTCAATCAAATGGGATAAAAGATTACAAGTTGATATATGCTTTTATGTTTCACTTTAATTAATTTCCCCCCAAAATTTTATTTTCCCAACCCCATCTTTTATTTGATAAGAGCTCATTGGTCACTTGAGATGAAATATTCTTATGGCCATCAAGAAAAATGGAGACTTTGAACCAAAAATTAAAGGGAGAAAAAGGAGAAAAATATGCACACACAGAAAATCAAATGTTATTTGTAACGTGGTCATCCCGTGTCCAAACATTCAGGTCGACCGCCTTGAAAATGAGGAGGAAGGATCCGTGACTTTGAAAGCAGAGCTTGGCTTGACTTGGACTTAGTGAAGATTTTGATCGGTAGAAAATTCGTTGATATTCGAAGAAGGACGATTCTTCCGTTAGAGAATCTTCTAATTGGTAGCGAAAAACCCATTGAACGACATGTATAGCAATCGTAGTAGCATATCCTGGATTTCTAATGTTCCCCCTCCTATAAAAACCGGAATTATACATTCTCAATAGTACACACAATCTCTTACATTCCAACTAAGCTTGCTTGGTCACCTACTGAAATTAATAGTAACTTAAACTCTAGAATGTACGTGACCAATCAATGCAGGTGTCAACAAAATCATCAAACTCCCTACTATGTCACTTGAGCCAGAATTGCGAATCAACGGTGATRTATTTTCTAATGAATGCACAACATACAAAGAGAATGGTTGAAGAATTGAATAAGAACAACCAAGAATAAAGCCAAGAAAACAAAGCTCGCCAAAAAAGAAAAAGATGACATGATTGGGTGGTAGTAAATTAATAGAGACCTTTAAATTCAAAAAGGAAATAAAAACAATTTGGTTTGCATCATCAATATATTGCCTTGATTAATAATAGTTGGATCGAGCGTTAAATTTAATTTATATTTGGATCTAGTCCGAGCCTCGCATGTATGTGAACTTYTAATTTCATCTTTAATTTTTTTCTTTACATTAATTTTTTTGTTAACATTTTAACGTGAGAAATTAAAAATATCTTATCTTTTAACGAGCTGGTTGTATTAGTACAATAACGTTTTAATGAATTTATTTTCTACCCAGTATAGTAATCCATTTTTTATTACGACTTTTGAATTTTATGTATGGACATGTTCCACTCGACTTGTTAAATCAAATATAATGTATTTTAATATTATACGAATTTTAATATTTAGTAACAGTAAAAACTTAATTGAAAAAAGAAACATACACTTATGAACGATTTGAGGAATAAATTTAAAAATGACATAAATATTAGTAACGAAATTATATATTTACATTGTTAGATTCATATATAAGTCTCTTACTAATTAGAGAGGCACACGGCAAAGAAAAATTGGTCAAAACATATTAAAATTTRGAGTAATTAAATTTTATTGGATTTAATGGATACAAYAAGTTTGTTTGCTTCCAAAGTAACAATGAACTGTTGGAGCTCGAGTTTTGTTTGAAAATTTCATTTAAAAGTTAAATCTTTTTTTTCCTTCTAAAAATTGTTTAATAGACCATAACAGTAATATTTGAGACAAAACCCAGATCTTTAAATAATGAATAATATTAATATAAACACATCTTGAAAACTAAGGTCTTGAATAATATTAATAATGTATTGTGTCATGTAAAAAACTTCCAATGTGAAAGACAGGTTCCTTGTAAAAGAGGTGACACAACAATAATTTCAAAACATATACGATAAGGTGAAAGAATTAAGCAATCAAAAGGAATGTTTTTTAGTCTAAGTTATGAATACTTTGAACCTTTCATTATTGTCGAAACTTAAATCTTATTTTGGTAATTTTTAAAATATCTGTTTTTTTCTATATTTTTATATTTTTTTTGTCTGTCTTCATTGATATATTTTCTAAATATCTATTTTTAGTTTCTACTTTTTGAAAGTAACTGCTTTTGTCAATTTATTTTTTTCTTTTACCTCGTTTGATTTATCACAATTCTAACACAATCCTACCTTCAATAAATTTGTTGTTGAAATATTAAGGACCCAAGTGGATGTTTGGAATTACAATGGTCAAAATGGACAAAAGCCGATAAAATCAAAATGATCATTTTGAAAGTATATGACAAAAATAGACAAAAGTTAAAAGTATAGATGCGACGCTATAGTACATGAATGAAATGACACTACATTCAAATAAAAATTATTATAAGATTATGCACCCATAACTTAAAATAATTGATGTTACTATTCATACCAACAATATGTACTTTTATTTTCAATAACTCATTCATAGAAACTCTAAAAATTAAGTGTGCTTGATTTCGAGCCATTTGTAGGTTGGGACTTTGTAGTTTTTTGGGTAAGCATGCCAATGTGGCCTTATTTTATTTTATTTTTTTATTTTGGTGTTTTTTTTTAGGTAAACAAAGTTGAGGGGAAATCCCCAAAGTACCAAGTTTCTTTTTAAACAATGGGTGCAATTTGTAGGATAAGTGTTCTTAGGCATTATAATTTTCTTTCCCTCTCTATCTGTGTGCATTGAACAATCTAGATTGAGTGAGGGAAGCTTTTTGACAAATTTTGCTTTTAACCCAAGTGAAAAGAGAGGGTAAGTTTTGAGTGAAAGATAATCAAAGTAAGGAGTAGTAAATTGCAAAAATAAAAAAGGAAAGGTAAATTGACAATTTTCCTTAAAAAGAGATTATATTTACTCCAAAGGTGTAATAAATAAATTTTTGTAATATGACTAAGATTTGTAAGCAACAAAATGTCAAAGAGAGAGAAGAAAAATAGTTAATAAACATGACCCTACAACATTTTCCACCACTCATTAGAAAAAATTCAACATTTCCCACTACTTGACCCCAAGGCATTTATTTCCATTAACATTTTCTTTCTATGCAAAAAGTTAAATAATTCAAAAGAATAAATAGTAATGGTAAGTTTAAATCTTCCTCACATTGATTTCAAAAAAAAAAAAAAATTTCGTTCCATATTTGCATTTTCATATATCTATGAATTCAACATCGATATTAGGAGTGGATCGATACTTCTCTAATACAACAAAAACAATTGATGAAATATTAAAAACATTAACAAAAAAAATTACGTAATATTAATGTTAATAATTTTTAATTTATTCAAAATTAGAACAATATTTATTTATTAATTTAAATATTTGTTATGAATTTTTTAAATTTATATATTTTCTTAAAAATATTTATTGATATCAACATTTTATCGATACTAAAAAAAATTAAAATATCGATACTAACATTTAAAATCTTGGTTGTAATTATATGGTTGCATACAACAATCTTAATAGCAATAATATTATTGTATTTATTTATTTTTAATATAATATCCCTGTATTGATTTTCAACAACTTCATTATTTATATTCCTATCTAATAAATGAAAGAATATAGAATATAGTATGCTTAAAAGAGTGAGTAATAAGATCGACATAAGATTTATTTCTATTTTAATTTATAGAAAGTAAAAAATTTCAGTGAACTAACTATTTAAGTTATATAACTATAATAATATAATATTCAACTTGAACTTAGTTTAATTTATCGAGACATAATTTGGTGGGAGTTAATCTACCCCTCACGATATTGTTGTATTAAAAAAAATTAAAATAATATAATAATTATTTAATAATATATTTTTAAATATCAAAATTAAGTTTGAAGGCAGTACTTAGGTCATTCTCCATCTTCATTGCTAAAAATTTTAAAAATCATTTTCGTCTCCAATGTTTACTTAAAAGACTAATGAATTGATTTCTACCTGATTTCATCTCTCGGAAGAATTTTGACACCTCTGATACATTTCATTAATCTCAAATAATTTTGAATTTAGTTTAAAGTTAAAGTCATTCTTTTAGTCTTTCTAATTTTTTTTTTTTTATAAATTTCATCATCGTTACTATTTTTGTTTTTATTAGTCTTTAAATTTTTTTTATCAACTTGAATTTAGTTCGAATGATTAATGCATTTATTGTTTGGATAAATATTATGTCTATATAAACTCAATAATACCGACAAACAATTTACAAAATAATTGACTACAAAAAATTATAGATTTTGACAACTTGAGCTGAACCTAGTGACTGACTACTTTATGCAACTACCAACATCAAAACTTTACGAAACATAGTCGAGACACGTTTCAATAGCACTGACCTAAAGACTATTATGTGCTCTGCACAAGCTTCTAGTAGACTACAACAATCATCTTAGTAGGATACAACGACTAATTCTGGTAAAACAGTAAGCTCGAACTACTTCAATCTGACAGAACTTTTAAACACTTGCTCTCAATACAAACAAGAACAACAATAAGATTCTTATAAGAAAAGAAGAATACCCAATTGTTGTATGCTTAGATATCTCTAATGAAAAAAAAAACAACTATATAATTGTATAAACATGTAACTTCTCGCAAAAAATTAATTTTAACACGTATATAACATTTTTACCTTTGTAATTTTAAAACATATAAAGTTACAAATAGGTAACTTTGTAACTTTAACATAAAAAACGATAAATTAAATAAATAAAGAATTTGATATGTAATTAAATTTCAGAATTGAAAGACAAAATTTAAAGACATGTCCAGAAGGTATATGTGAATAAATTTCTTCCAATTTCACATTCGCTTCGCACACTAAAAACCCAATACCTATCTCCGACTAAAAGATTGTGAGTTTAAATCACTGTATTAAAAAAAAATCTCATATAATAAATTATATGTAATTGCATTCTAAAATGAGATACAGAAATCTAATAAAATATAAATAATTGCATTCTAAAACATAATTAGAGTTGTGATCTGGTTTAGTTCTAATTAGGTCATATGTGATTGGTTTGTTTGGCTTGGATAACATGATCCACATCCCTACTTTAACCTCGCTTCATATGAATTTGGTAGGTAATTTCACCCGTAACACAACTAAAGTAAAAAAAGAAATAAATTTAAATATCAAATTTAAATTCATATTTTTTCTATAATCGTTTTACAAATACCATACTCTAGAGTTGATATATAACCTTTGCGAATGACTTGCGCATTGAATTTCTATTATTTCTCACCAAACAGCAAGAACATATCATAAACTGTAATGGAAGTATATAGAAAATTTTAAAGTATATTAACCAAAATTAAAACAACATTGAATCATTTCCAAAAATAAAAGGAAAACAGAATTCAACCATAAGGTCTAAAATTTTAATTAAATTCCAAAAAAAAAAAGAAGAAAAAAGAAAAGTCCACCAATTTTGGTCTCTCACGCCTCTCTCTCTCTAAAATAGACTCGCCAGTGCCTCGTCTTCCCCATAATCAGTCTCTCTCTCTATATTTTCTCTCAGATTACACTGGTTTCTCTGCTCTGCTCTGCTCTCTTTCACTTACTCACTCCAGTTCCTCGTCTTCCATCTGATTTTGTAAGTTCCAAATCTAAACTCTTCATCCCTTCTCTCTCTCTCTCGTTTTGATTTTATTCGAAACCCTAGAAGTCAAGCACTGTAAATTCTTTCCCCCTTTTTAAAGTCGTTACTCTGATTTTTTATTCTTTTTATTTTCGAGGAGTTATGTGTTCTGGTCAGAGTTCCAGATTTGTTATTTCTTTGCTGTTCTTTGATCCTTGCAATTTGGTTTCTGGGTTTCTTATTTATATCATCTGGGAACTGAGAAATTGTGGGCATTCGTTAGTTTGGTACTGAAGTGTTTGCTTTTACTTCGATTTGTTTCTGCCCTTTGCTTTTGTTGATGTTGATCTGATATGGGTCTGACCCTGTGATGTCTCATAATATGATTTCAGCCCAAGATGTTTATTCTTCTGTCCGGGTGAAAAGTTATTAGGGTTTCCATACTTCTTGGACTTCTTCGAGTTACTGTCTGAGGATTTGGGGCGGGCATGGTGGGCTCTGAGGAGGACTCTGGTACTTCTGGGGCCGCGTTGCAGCTCCCTGGCAGCCAGAAATTGTTCTGGCGTTCGGCTTCATGGTCTGCGTCACGTTCCTCTCTTCACCATCCCGAAGTGAACAAAGAAGGTGGAGACTCCAATGGGAATCTTGCTGATAGTAATGGACCGAGCCGAATTTATCCTGCTCCATTAACCCCGAGATCACAGCAGCATTGCAAAGCAAGGTCGTGTTTGCCTCCTTTACAGCCTTTGTCGATAGCTCGACGAAGCTTAGATGAATGGCCGAAGGCAGGGTCGGATGATATAGGCGAGTGGCCACAACCTCCTACTCCAAGTGGCAGGGGAAATGGCGAGAGGCTGAAACTTGATTTGTCGACAATCCAGAGGAACCCGGATAAAAATTGTGGACTTGTGAAGAGGGATAAGATTGCTTTCTTTGACAAAGAGTGTTCAAAAGTGGCGGAACATGTATATCTTGGTGGAGATGCAGTTGCTCGAGATAGGGATATACTTAAACAGAATAGAATCACTCATGTGTTGAATTGTGTAGGTTTTGTTTGCCCGGAGTACTTCAAGGATGATTTTGTGTACAGAACTTTGTGGTTGCAGGATAGCCCATCTGAGGATATTACTAGTATTCTTTATGATGTTTTTGACTACTTTGAAGATGTTAGAGAACAAAGTGGAAGGGTTTTTGTTCATTGTTGCCAGGGAGTATCTCGGTCAACATCCTTGGTGATTGCGTATCTGATGTGGAGAGAAGGGCAGAGTTTTGATGATGCATTTCAATATGTGAAGGCGGCGAGAGGTATTGCTGACCCGAATATGGGTTTTGCTTGCCAGTTATTACAGTGCCAAAAGAGGGTCCATGCTTTCCCTCTTAGCCCAAGTTCACTGTTGAGGATGTACAGAGTTGCCCCACACTCACCATATGATCCTTTGCACCTAGTCCCGAAAATGTTAAATGATCCTTCACCTTCCGCTCTGGATTCTAGAGGTGCCTTTATCATTCATATACCTTCTGCCATATTTGTTTGGATTGGTAAGAACTGTGAAGCAATCATGGAAAGGGATGCTAGGGGAGCTGTTGTGCAGATTGTTCGGTACGAGAGAGTGCAAGGGCCTATATCTGTAATTAAGGAAGGGGAAGAACCAACAAACTTTTGGGATTCTTTTGCAAACCTGTTGCCTTTAATGGATAAATCTAACAGTAAAATCAATCTTGGGGAATTAAAAGTCAAGCCGTATGCAGGCGAGAGGAAAGTTCATTCCTATGATGTCGACTTTGAAATTTTCCAGAAGGCTATAACTGGTGGTTTTGTTCCTCCATTTCCCTCTCCCGAGAACGAACATGAAACCCATCTTCCTGTTAGAGAAAGCAGTTGGAGTATGCTAAGGCGTAAGTTTGCCAACGGGAATATGAAAGAGTTTGTATCAGCTCCTAGAATATCGCTCTCTAGGGTCTATTCAGACTCATTCATGATGGTGAATTTATCAGCAAAATCTTCATCACCTTCGACGTTTTCTTTGTCTTCATCGTCTTCTTCACCTATCTATCTTTCTCCAGATTCCCTCTCCTCTGATTCAAGTTCAAGTTCAAGTTCAAGTTCCAAGTATTTTTCAGAATCCTCTCTAGATTCTCCATCTGCAGCTTCACCTTCAGTTCCAGTTTCTTCATCTCTGTCTAGTTTTTCTAACATGTCTCTTATCTCATCCAATAGCTCCTTAGAACCGGTGCCCAATGGACCAGAAACTTGTGATGCAGTCCCGTTGGAATCAAGTTCTCAGTCATTCTCATTCCCATCCAAAAAGTTCTCGCCTTCTCTTGCAGAGCGCCGAGGTAGCGCAAAGTCTCTGACATTGCCTACAATGCCAAGTAAAATCAGAGCAACAAATAGTGCCTCAAGGTTTCTTGCCAGTCAAGAAGATGGTAAAAGGAAGAGCAAGATTTCTTGCTCCCTTAATGTATCAATTAATATGAAAAATGGTTCAGAGCCCAAGGATAGGGTTGAAAATGAACAGACAAGTTCCGCTCAAAATTTCAAGAATATTGAAAATGGAATAGTTGCAAGGGTAGGTAGTGTGGCCTCGTGCCAGCAGGAAACTACAGTTGCTGGACAATCTTCTGGTTCATGGAAAAACCATCCCAAACTTTTTGAAGAAGGCGAGGTACCCACAGTGTCAAATGGGAAGCAAGGTGGTGGGCTTTTGCAGGATTTTCAACCTATGGTATACTCTTGGCCGGAGTTAGAAAAGATTGCAGCTTTTGACGCAAGTTACCTCAATTCTAAAGCTGCTGTAGTGATTTTCTCTCCAAGTAGGTCTTTAGGCAAGAAGGATGACATGATGCTGTATATTTGGGTAGGAAGTTCTTTTGGCCATGATTTATCTCAGGTTCGAGTAAAACGAGATAAAGACTTGGTTGGTTTAGAAACGATAGACTGGGTTAAAGTCGGTCAATATGTACTTACCGAAATAGGTCTGCCAGAAAATACAGAAATTAAGGTACTTGGGACCTTATTTTTTGTTTTACTTTTATGCTTGATTTTTTAGTTCTTTTTTTATCTTTTCTGCTATATGGAAAATGACAGTTATTAGGCTAGGAAGGAGGAGAAACAATATTGGTTTATTGCCTTATCGGTTAATGCCAAAACTTTATGGGTGCGGTGCCTTTGTGTTGTTTCCTGCTCAATTAAACTTTTTCCAACTGAAGGTTTTTAATTTTATTTTTATACTGGAAACAGTAATGTTTTTTATAACATGGATTTACCATATCCAATTGAATGCAATCAAAAAAGTATGGAAAGAGAGGGTCATAATGGAATTCCTACAAGGATCATTTCCTGCCGTTATTCTATGCATCGGTGTTTTTCCCTCTATTCATCCACAACGTTTTCGTTTCTAATTCTTTAAAATAAATTCTTCATGGAGTTCGAAATGCTCGACAGTGGGCAAGTAGTGACATTGGGTTGCTCTTAGTGGCTCAATTTTCTCCGACAAGTTATACATTTATGCCTTTGTTCTTTATGATTCGGTACTCCATTATATAGTGTGTGTTTTAATCTTCCTGATAAACTTCTTGTGGTAACAGATTGTTAAAGAGGGTGAAGAAACAGAGGAATTTCTTGCACGATTGAGTCTGTTGTAGCTGCGCTGCTAATGGACATTACCTTGATCCAATGACGAAAATTATCCGATTGTTGAGCTGGCTTAGCGTGCCATGCAACTTAGTCATCAGGATGAACTTCCCTTGCAAAAATTAGTGAGGTAAGCATGGTAGAAATTACTTGACCATATTGATTCCCTGCTGCTGCAATGCTAGTTTTGTTCTCACGTCTTCTTTTGGTACTTTCTATATAGTTAAATGGCTTTTCTGTTGAGTGGAGCCATGCCCTTAATGGATGGCACCATCCTCTTGTTACCAGTCTGATGAGTAATGAATTGATCATGTCATCTATTGACAGTCACGTGTCTATCTGATGATCACTGGTTTTCTCAACCAGTGAAGCGTGCTGTTCCTTCTTTTCTGTTGTTTAATGTGCACGGAAGTTGAAAGTCTAAACTTTAGCTTTTACATTTTCTTTTTTCTCAACTCGCTGTGTTGAAAATGAAAATCTGAACCAATCCTGCTTGGCCTTGGGTGGTTTAGTTAGTCAGACACGAGCTAGTTCGGCATTTTAATTTGTCGACAGATTTCCTTAATTGAAATTACAAAAGAAGGCCACAAAACATGGCTTAAAATTAAAGGGGCTGAAAGAAATCAAGTGTCTTGGGAATAAAAAATAGGGGAAAATCTTTAAATTAAGAACTAGCAAAAGGGCCTAAAAGTAAACTATGAAAGTTACCGGTTGGGACCTCGGTTGTTATGTTAGTAGTAAAAAATAACGGAAAATATTTAAAACGACAACCAACACAAGGGCATAAAAAAAACTATGAAAGTTACCAGAAGGGACCTCAGATTGTTGGTAATAAAAAATAAGGGAGAGTCTTTAAATAAGAAGACAGTTAAAGGGAAGCAATGGAGTGAGTCGTATTCCAAATCTCTTCCTCTATCCTAAATCATCCTAAGAGTTTCCGTAGTTTGATATACCGACTAGTAGTGAAGAATTTGGTCACTTAATGTAGGATATTAAATCTTGTGAATTTCTTGATGACCAAATGTTTTTTCTTTTGATAACCAAATGTTATAGGGCCGGAATATCTTATGAAATTAGTTGATGTACAATAAACTGGCTCGGATACTTTCAGTATTAAAGAAAAGAAAATAGTGAAGAACACAACCTGCCAAAGTTAGTTTCCTCTATTGCTAAGGGGGTGGGTGCTCCAAAATATCCTACCCAGCCTTTGTCTAGCATTTTTATTTATATTATTTCATTACTCATAAGCTTAAGAGTAAATTATAGACACTCCCAACTTGCATTCATTGGATTAGTAAAATTTTGTTTGGTGAGAGTGTCAAAGGGAACCAGAGAGCAAATCTGGGTTGCAGTTGAATTAGATAGATCATCCTATATAGTTATTTACTTTTTAACTCCATGAAAAGGTGGGTTCTGATGATTTTTGGTTGTTGTGTATGCAGGAGACGTTTGAGAATCCAAGTCGTTTATAGCAAGTTTTAACAAGTTGTACAGAGCTGTAACACCCCACCCACCCACCCACGTCATTCAAATTTGATCTTGTAAACAATTTGCTCAAAGGCCCTTGCCTAACATATATTATTGACTTTTGCCTCCTTAATAGGATCAAAATCTTTCTTTATACTCCCTCTTGGGTTCCATTTCTTTTTCAGCTCTACTCAATCTGAAGCTATATGGAAATGAAAAAAACGATGTCCATGAATGGCAAAACCGAAACCCGACATTTGGGTACCGAAAATCACATTACAGCCTATCTATTTCTGAGAATTAAACACGATAAGTGGCAGTTTCCATGGTTTTGAGCTTATTTATATATTTTGTCTTTTGATGTGAACTGAAGTTGAAGAATTCTCCGGCAGGAGATGGTGGGTTGCTTGGAAAATCTTGTGGTATTGTCGAAAGCTTATGAGACACTCATTCATTCCCAATTCTAGTCAAAACAGAATACTGAAACTTAGGCAATTGTAATAATCAAATCAATAACGTCACCATCTCCTTTTGGTCTTTGTGGTCAGCTTGGCTTTGGTTCAATGATTTCCAATGTCCTAACCAGATCACTTGATTTCATCATGTGAAACCAAAACTGGGTACTGGGCTGATCATATATACTTTTGCTTTGCACCAATCTAAATATCAGAATTGTTCGATAACTATGAAAATATACCAAATAAATGATGAGCAAACAATCATAATTAAAAAAAAAATACAAAAAACTAAAAATAAAATAGTTATTAAAGACGCTTAAATATTTTCAAAACTCGGTTTAATATCAAAAGAAAAAAGAAAAAAAGCGGTTAAAAGTAGATTACACAACACGGGTAGAGATAGTGTTTACAAGTTCAATATTTGTCTACCCTAGTGCTCTTGGTTAGTGATGTAATATTTTTGAAAAGAAAAATCCAATTATACTTAACAGAACTGGAACGAAACTTGACCGTTCATATGAAAAAGAATTACTCGGGTTGCCTCATTAATAACTATTGGATGCAAGTTCAATATTTGTTCCCCTCTTATAGCAAAGTTTGACATACAAATTTTTGGTTGGGGATAGATGTCTGAACAAATCAATCCAACTACTGAACAAATCAATCCAACTATATAAGTTAGTTAACCATATTGTGTAGTTTCTAAAATTTTAGGTAGGTAAGCTTCACTAAAAATTTAGTATAAATAATTTAAAAGTTAACAATTTCAAAACTCATTATTCATAAATAAATTAAATTATTAATTTAATATATCATAATTGTATTTTATGAATTTTACTATTATAAAATCGCTACATAATAACTTTAATTTATATAGGTTGATTATTAGTTTGTTTAATAAAAGGTAGGACTTGGTTTTTCTAATTAGTTTTAAGATAGAACCATGAATATTAATAGTAGGGTTGATCATTGGTTGGTCGGGATCGGTTTTTGGTCCACCCCGATGTCGAAACCGACGGTTTCCTTCTACAGTTTGGCGCCGACCGGCTGACCGATCGGTTCGGTCGGTGGGTTTGTCTGTTTAACCGACATTTTTTTAATTATTCGGTGCGGCGGCAGGGAGGGATAGAGAGTGAGAGTGAGACATGAGAGAGTGAGAGAGCACAGGG